CTTATATAAAAAGTTTTTGAGTGTAATTTCACATGTACTTAATGTAAACTTTGCAGACGGTTGCATTGTTAACATTTCGACTGTACATGCTTCAAGGCAGTTTACCAAAATTTACTGAACCGGACAATCCTGCAGCGTTCCATGACAGCTCAAGAGTCAGGTAAATACTATTTAGTAATAAGTAATAATATTCCATATGTACCTACAACATTTATTAGTTTTAAAGTTTCTCATTTTGATAAGTTTACCTATACATGAATAAAAAATATATATAAAATAAACTTGAGCAGTAAAATATATTTACAAATAGATTTAAAAACTTATTAAAAGTTTTGTTTAATGTTGTATAAACAATTTCTTCTTGGTAAATAATTTAAACGTAATCAATAAAGTATTTATTTTAAAAATGTAGACCAAATAAAGTTACATTATATTTTTTATTTCTGTCCCAAATATTATGAGAATGGTTTCGTTTGTTTAAATTCAAAAAATATTATATTAAGTCATTTTTTAAATTATTTAAATTATTTCGTTGAAAAAAGTTCTATTTTTTTTATTTTCATACATATTTTAAAGTGCTTACATACAAATAATAAAACGAATTTAAATATATAATTTCTAAATTAATACTTTCTCTATGTGTAAAAAATAATTTTCTAAAATGTTTTCGAACATAGTTAATAATTAATTTTGTGAAAAAATCATAATAAATAAATTATTAAACAAAATAACATTTAAAAACATTGATAATTGTAAATAAATTTTCTTTTGGACTTAAATATAAAATATAGTTTTGTTTAATTTACATAAGCTAGGTATTATGTAATTAAAATTAAATTGCAAGAGAAATGTGAAATTATAGCACGAGATAAAAAAATGTTGACGATTTTATAACCATAATTGAATACCAAATCCTCAATTTTGAAAGAATATTATTTTATGTATTCATATAAGTCAATACGTATAACATACATAAATATAATAAACACGGAAAATAATATACATATATATATTTTTTATTATTAATTGTTTACTGCGTAATATAAATAATATAATAATGGCAAGGTATATGCATTTTATAAACTCTACCAAAATTCAAAAGAATTATTGTATTTATATTCACCTGATATATAAGTTGAATAATATACTAAAAAGTGATTTATTAAAACAGAGCCCAAAGCAACCGCATCAACGTGAATTTGACGTGAATTTGAATAAAAATAATTTTCTAGAAAGTTAAAAATGTTTTATATAATTATATGCGTACCTTTTATATTATAACATCTATATTTTATTATATTATGCATTGAAATTCAATTAACTTAAGAGGGGCTGTAGATTACATGAATTGTGTTACCTTAATATTGTAGATCATGATTGTATGGATTGTTTTGCCATTTTATACTTTCTAAGTTTAGTGCATGTCAAAAAAATATTTCGTTGAATTGTCAACGTGACGTTGATTGGAATTTTCTGAAAAGTATTTAATATCTGGATCATGAAAAAATTAAAAAACAAATTTAACACGCAATCTTGCAATTATAATTTATGTGACAGACACTTGAACTAAGTTCAAGTCTTTAGGGATGATGGTATTTAGAGGAAATGATAAGATCGAGTAGGGTGCTATTTTTAAAGTGGATCCATTTTGGAGCCTCTCCTAATGCAAGAGGGTCATTAAGAAAAGATTTATGACATTTGCAGATCAATATTATATAATATGTGATGATAGAAATGAGTGTTGGTAGTAAAAATAATAATTTTCTCTTGCTGATGTATAAATATTATTTCTTTTATTTACAACTAATTAATGGGCCAAAGTTAATTGTTTAGCAATGATTGGTGGTGAAGTAGGCCGCGACCGAGAATATTTTGGTCCATCGAATGGATTTGGTAGTAGAACTATGCAAGAACCACAGCATCCCTTTAGTCCTACCCCGTTAAATGGCTCCCTGTCGAATAATTTATTGTGTATCTTATACGAGAACAACCCCTATGCGAATTCAAAGCAGTTAATATTAAATTCTGTTATGGAGGGCGGGAGTAAAGTACGAGAGGGGCGCACTTTTGCCACCACCAGGTTTTGGAATGTTCAAAATGGACATATTTCAGAACCCATTTATACAGAGAAATTCCGCCGACCGATAAATTTAACAAGGGGGTAAGCTACAGTACCCCGGGTTATCATTGTCCGGTACCATGGGCATTGGGAATTACAAAGGGTTATTTGTTGGCCAGTGTTTGATAAACTGGTAAATTTACCTTTCACTACAAATAAGTATGTGTTACTGAATCTCGGAAACACCTTGATTTTCAATTGCATTTTTTGTCGTACATAATATTTTTCATTTTATTTAACTGAAATTATTATAGATTACATACTTTTCCAATTTAATTCAAAATAATTAGTATTTAAAACAAATTTGATTTATATTTATCATAGTTGTATGCATTTACAATTTGATCATATTATTCTGAAAACTGAATTATTAAAAGAAGAAAAACCTTTATTCGATAAAAGAATAGATAGCATAATAATATAATACATATTATGTTGTGTTATTTATTATCATATTATAATTTGCATCTAATATTTAATGTTGTTGTATTTATTAAGTAAAAAGCACATTAATTTGAAAATTTGAAAAATATTTAATTTTATTATCAATCGTCTTACAATTTATTTCTATCTTTAAAGACTATAATAAATAAATTATTAACGTTATACTTTATTCAACTATTTAAATAAAGTATAAAAAAATAAAGTATTATACACCATAAAGTATTGAATTATTTTGTCAAAAGGCGCATTGAARCAAATTGTTATAAAGTTATTTTTAGGTTGGTGTGTTATAATAATAAAATCAAATATATATATTGAATTTAATGCTTTAGAACAAAGTTCTATAAGAACCAAATAATTTAAATATAAAAAAAAA